TCACAGGACTTTATCAACCAGGTTAGGGTTGAGCTAGGTTAACCCCAAGACCACGAGAGATTTTGTTCTGGAAAGACTGAGTCATTTTCCTGAAAAAATTCAGAATTAACCAAACTGCATAACTGTTAGGTCAGAACAGGATGTCTTAACATTTGTTATGACATCTGAATTCCTGTTTACTGATTTTGGTAAATGTGATCATTTTGCAAAATGCTCAGATACACACTCATAAACAGCAGCACCTGTATGACATTATTTTTCTGCAAAGGTACCTAATAAATCAGTACCTAATAAACTAGAATGTTATGACATCAGTCATGACATTCACACAGCTGGATTTACCAAAAATGCATGCCAATAACTAAACAACTACACACACAGAGAGAGAGAGAGAGAGAGAGAGAGAGAGAGAGAGAGAGAGAGAGAGAGAATTTAAGGTTAGTGCAGCAGCATAGCAGTTTTGAGAAGATAAACAACAAAACTTATAATAACATAAAAGGCAACATTATCGAGAGAGAGAGAAAGAGAGAGAGAGAGAGAGAGAGAGAGAGAGAGAGGAGAGAGAGAGAGAGAGAGAGAGAGAGAGAGAGAGAGAGAGAGAGAGAGAGAGAGAGAGAGAGAGAGAGAGAGAGAGAGAGAGAGAGAGAGAATTTAAGGTTAGTGCAGCAGCATAGCAGTTTTGAGAAGATAAACAACAAAACTTATAATAACATAAAAGGCAACATTATCGAGAGAGGGAGAGAGAGGGAGAGAGAGAGAGAGAGATGGGGGAGAGTGGGAGGATTCTACTGTCTTCGGTTATATGATCTGATATTGTGGTGGCATAAAACACGGTTGGAATCACGAAGAACCTTGGCAATAGACTAGGAAACTAAGAGCTTGGTATATTTTTCTTTCCCAGTCATGCATTAACGTAATGAATTTTTCTTTCCTTTATTGTTATTTATTTTGTGAATTTTTTTTTGAATAACCATGTATCAAAAAAAAAATTCGCAAATAACCGCGTTTCGGAAAAAATTACGCAAATAACTATGTTTCAGATGACTCCCCAAAAGAGGAGTCATCTGAATTGGCGCCTACTCCCATTGTTTAAGGGGAGGCGCCATCTCACTTGGCGCCTATGTGTTTAGGGCATGCCCTAAGCCAAGTGAGATGGCGCCTAGGTGTTAATTTAGGGCAAAAATTGATTTTTTTTTTTTTTGTCCAGTACGTTGCGTGTTGGATACAGGATCAACAAAATGGACTTTTTATTATAAAAAAATAATTACATCCAATTGTATTACATTAAAAAAACAGATAAAAAAAACAGATAAAAAAAATAGATAAAAAAATACAGATAAAAAAATACAGAAAAAAAATAGATAAATCAGTGATCCCCCGGAATCCGGTAATGACTCCCGGTTCCGCATCCCCGTCCTCGTCTTTCCCGTGCTGGGTGTCGTCGCGTTTCCTGCTGCGGCAGGGTCGATGGCCCAGCAAAGTCAATGCGGTCTGGATCCATAAAATCAGTCAGATCTCCATATCTAGAAGATCCGCTTTGGTATAGTCGGTTACCCATACCCTCAAAGTTTGGTCGTGTTGGCGGTGGGTGGGGTTCTATGGTGGGTCTGTAGCATTGATCGTCTGAGTACGGTGGGTAGAAAGGAAATGGATCTTGGGGTGTTTGGTATTGAGGATGTTGGGTGGTTTGGTGATATTGTGGTTGATGGTAGGCTGGGTTGGTTTGTTCGTAATCTTCCGACATTCCCATATCAGGGCTAAGACTGGATGTTGAGGGGCTCATATTGGGATATACGGAAGACTGAAATTGTGTGTGGGGTATGCGGGTGTGCTGGTATTGTGATTGGTATTGTGGTTGGGTGTGAGGCATATCGGGGTATTGGTAGTGAGGTGGTGATTGTGGTTGGTTGTGTGCCATTTGAGTGTAATTGTGTTGTGGTGGGGACTGTGGTTGGGTGTTTGTGGGTCTGTTTCTTCTTGGGGGTTGGTGGGAGGTTGATGGGTTTTGGATTTGTTGTTGGGGAAACGAGGGTTGTGTCCATTGTGTGCGTGGGTCAACCAAGTACCTTGGATGAGACACGTGCATTTCAGAGTTACTAACCGACTTGTACCAAGATAAATATTGATCCGTGTGTCGCATATTACCATGATTAAGAAAACCCGAGAATTGCAAGACATAGCGGTGACGCCTCTGCCACATCTTACACCATTCCAGAGCGAAGTCTTTCCAGTTGGTAAGACTCCACTGGGCGTCGACCCTTTTAAGATGCCATGGGGACAAACAAGTTGGATCACTTGGTATCTCTTGATGCATTCCGAACTGCATCTTCACACGGTCGCTGTGGTGCATCTCCACAATATTGAACCGAATGATTGCAGTCTTCGCGGTCCAAATTGCTGCATCATCCGGGTTTGGATCATGGCCCAAACTCAAATATGGTCTCCAGACGAACTGCGATAAAATTTAAATCAGGTTAACGAAAGCGTAATGTATAAATAATTTAAATGAAGAAAAGTTTAAAGCTACGACGTACATCATCCGGGCCTAAGTGATCCAACAGATTGCGGTATAGTGCGACATTGAATCTTGGATTCTTGCCGTAATCCATACCCCTCACGCAGTACCTAAAGGAAATGAAAAACATTTTATTCTTAGCATATATTTGGTGAATAGATGAATAGTAATAAATGATATGACTTAATGACTTACTTTGTTGCGTACGGGAAACCGAAAGTGTTGTTGTTGACGGGGTTTAAAGACTCCATCCTCCACCAACCTCAGGCTTGTAGTAAAAAAGCGCACCCATAAAATGTACATTTTTCCTTGACTACATTTTTGCACAAGGAACTGTATAGGTGGGCTAAAACTACAAAACCCCAACTATATTTTCTTGTTTTTTCAAAATTTCTTAGTAAATGTAAATACATAAAATTTACACTATTTCCCGTACTTTCGGGAAATAAAAATGTACCAAATAGTATCATAAGATAAGTTCTGGCTTTTACTACCCTGTCTTGCTCGGAGGAATTTTCGTTTAATTCCAAACTTGCATAATGACTTTTCAGCTCAGTGAGTAGTATTCTCTGACCTCTCGCACCACTACCTTCAACCATATCCCTGCCCAACAGTTCTTCACACTGAGGGTTGGGTTGTTGAACCGACCCGTTCACGGCCTTACCGTCGACAGGGAAACCTAGTAGCATGTACACATCCTCTAGCGTGATGGTACATTCACCTATTGGTAGGTGAAATGTATGGGTCTCTGGTCTCCACCTTTCCAACATTGCAAGAATGAACTTCGAGTCAATGGTGCAGTTGGAGATCTTTATGACATGTTCAAAACCTGCGTATTCCAGGTATGGTACGATAAATGGGTCGGGAGTCAGGTAGTTGTCAGAACGGATTCAGAATCTTTTGGTGTCCTGAGTTCATAATGTAAAAGGTATAAGATTAAGTAAGACGAACAAAGCATTATCTGAAGTATGAAAAATGTATAACAAAAATAGAAACTTACAAATGCGGCAATGTTTTCCCTTGTGTCTCTGTGAGAATCGCCCATTGTTAGAAGAATCATTGTTTAAAATGCTTGAGATTATGAAAGACTTAGAAAGTGTAAGAGAGTATGAAAGACTTAGAAAGTGTAAAAGAGTATGAAAGATTTCGTAGCAGAGAGTGAGACTTGTGTGGGTGTGAGAGATGTATGATATGGTATGTATTTATAGGCAAAAAAAATTCATATAGTGGTTGCTGGTGCTTGCATGCATGCGAAGTGTCACTCTTGCAGGCTAGGTGGCAGCCTAGGGAGTTACATATATGCATGCATGTAAAAAAATGAAAGGTGTCACTCTTGCAGGCTAGGTGGCAGCCTAAGGATGTATCACGATTGGACAGTAAGGGAGGCGCCATTGGACTTGGCGAAAGAGTACAAAAATGAATGGTATCGCCACCCCAATTGACAAATAAGAGGTGTCCTTGGTTACAGGCTAGGCTCAGGCTACGTGACAGCCTTTGGAATGTCTTGCCTGAATGCATGTAACCCCATTGGAGGTGATGGGAGGAGACTTACAACATACAGTATAGGTGCAGAGTAGGCGCAGACTATGTGGCAGCCTAGGGGTTACATATCTGCATGCATGTATCACGATTGGACAGTAAGGGAGGCGCCATTGGACTTGGCAAAAGAGTACAAAAATGAATGGTGTCGCCACCCCAATTGGCGAATAAGAAGTGTCCTTTGTTACAGGCTAGGCTCAGGCTACGTGACAGCCTTTGGGATGCCTTGCCTGAATGCATGTAACCCCATTGGAGGTGATGGAAGGAGACTTACAACATACAGTATAGATGCAGAGTAGGCGCAGGCTAGGTGGCAGCCTAGGGGTTACATATCTGCATGCATGTATCACGATTGGACAGTAAGGGAGGTGTCATTGGACTTGGCGAAAGAGTACAAAAATGAATGGTGTCGCCACCCCAATTGGCGAATAAGAGGTGTCCTTTGTTGCAGGCTAGGCTCAGGCTGCGTGACAGCCTTTGAGATGCCTTGCATGTAACACTATTGGCAGCCTTGGGGGTTGCATCCTTACTTAATTGAAATTTTTAGTCTTACGTTTATCATAACATTGATTCACTTAATCTGTCAAATCTTTCAACCTTCAAACGTTCTTACAATCAAACCTTCAAACAATCAAACATATAAACTTTCGAATAACTCATAAAGTTCAAACATTCCAACCTTCAAACCTTACAACATTCAAACCTTCATACAATCAATAAACTTCAAACATTTCAACCTTCGAATCACTCATAAAATTCAAACATTCCATCCTTCAAACCTTCAAACAATTCTACGCAATGGCCTCTGCACCATAATTTGTCGTCAAAGCACATTTCAACGGTGAGACATACATTTGTCTCACCGCTGGGTTTTTGTTTAGAGACACAGACAACATCCGATTTCTCTTAAACGGGAAAGCCAATTTCTCGTACTTCAAAAAACGATTGGAGACCAAACTTGAACGAGGTCCGGTGTCCCAGATATTTTATCAGAATCCAGTTTTTTTTAGAAACAACCAAGTAATTTTTTATAAGGTTGAAGTTCAAGATGACGAGGATCTCCAGAATATGTTTTTCAGCCATGTCTATTCTGGGTACGACTCTATTGAGTTGTACGTTATGCTGCGAGAGCCTCAGGTGACACAAGAGATTGATCCTTTGGAGAATGAACGAGCTGAGGTAGATGCAGTTGATGATGAAGAAGATGACGAGTTAGAGTTTGATGAAATGGTGAATGATGATTTCGACGATGATGGCATCCCTAGTATTCCTGCAAACGAAATCTACACACCACCTCCGCACATGACAAACTTCAACATGGGCGGAGATGAACCTTCTACTGACTTATTTTTCAATCCGTATATGCAGTCGGATGAAAATTTAAAAGAGAAGGACAAGTTTCGTAACAGAGAGGAATGCATCAGAGCCATAAAAAAATTCCACATGTTCAACTCGGTTGATTTTAAGGTGGACCGTGTCAACCCGGAAAGGTACAAGATCAAGTGTGTCCACCCTGACTATATGTTCAAGCTGACCGCATCATACAGATTAAGAGGTGACTGCTAGGTCATAGGTTCCATGACTACCCACACTTGTGTAAGTTCCACTCAATCACAGGACCACCGAAAACTCAACTACGATCTCATCTGTCAAGAAATCCTATCCCTGGTCAGCAACGACCCATCTTTGAAGGTGAAAACAATCATCTCCCACATCACCACGGTTTTTAACTACACTCCGTCTTACCGTAAGGCGTGGTTAGCAAAGACTAAAGCGATTGAAAGGGTGTACGGAAACTGGGAGGAGTCATACCAAGAACTTCTCCGCTACCTGAATGCACTCAAGACGTATTCTCCAGGTAGTGTTTACGTTCTGGAAACAGTGTCAGCATACGCCCAAGATGGTAGTCTACTAAATGGCAACGGAATATTCAGTCGAGTGTTTTGGACATTTCAACCATGAAATATTCAGTAGAGTGTTTTGGGCATTTCAACCATGCATCACAGGGTTTGCATCATGCAAACCAATTATACAAATTGATGGGACTTGGTTGTATGGGAAGTACAAAGGCACGCTACTGATGGCAGTTGCACAAGATGGCAACAACAACATTTTTCCCATTGCCTTTGCCCTTGTCGAGGGGGAGACCGGTGGTGCTTGGAGCTTTTTTCTGAAAAATCTGTGGCTCCTCAACCAGATCTCTGTTTGATCTCGGACAGACATGCCTCCATTGAAAGTGCCTACAATAATCTTGCAAACGGTTGGCATGACCCTTCTTCTACGCATGTCTATTGCGTTAGGCATATCGTCCAGAATTTCACGAGGGAGATCAAGGACAAAACATTGAGAAAAGCGGTTATGAATGCGGGATATGCATTGACACAGCCCACATTCAAATATTACCGCAACGAGATCCGTTTGTCAAATCCGGAAGCCGATAGGTGGATCGACAATATTCCGGTGGAAAAATGGACTAGGTCATACGACAATGGTCAAAGATGGGGGCATATGACAACGAATCTTATTGAATCAATGAATGGGGTATTCAAAGGCATACGAAACCTCTCAATCACTGCCTTGGTAAAATCTACGTATTTTAGGATGGCTGCGTTATTTGCCAAAGAGATGAAATGTGGAATGCGGTGTTGCAATCTGGACAACTATGGAGTGAAAGCTGCATGAAATACATTAAGGCTAGTGTTATACGGTTTGACCGACACAGCCACAACTTCATTGTGAAAGAGACAATCGACCACAACGAAGGCCTGCCAAGACAAGAATATAGAGTCATACTACCTTCTCGTTGGTGCGATTGTGGCAGGTTTCAAGCATTTCGTATGCCTTGCTCTCATGTCATTGCCGCTTGTGCTCATACCCATCGAGACGCGCTGCAACTTCTGTCAAACATTTACAAATCTGAAACGTTGTTCAACGTTTACAACAACAACTTTCCTTTGGTAGCAAAACCAGATTATTGGCTTGCATACAACGGCGAAATAGTGTGGCACAATGACCAAATGCGAAGGAACAAGAATGATCGTCCCAAAAGTAAGCGCATCACAACAGAAATGGACGATCTTGACAAGTTAGAAAGAAAGTGTGGTTTATGCCGTCAGGTCGGACACAATCGCAAAAATTGTCTGAATCGGGCGTCTGCCTCGACCACATAAAAATTGTAATACATAAAATCTTTCCTTAATTGTGTTGTAAACATTAGGGTTTTCCGTTAACAGATTTTGCTACAATTAATAAAACGCGTACAAGAAAAATTAACGATATTCCATCTACGAAATTACAGCTGTTAACACAATTTCATCTGACCCATGCATCATCAACATTACATCGCTGTCTGTTTTGACTTCCTCCAACCATACATTAGGTCTTACTGTCGCATGTGAGATTGTTGTTCGTTTTCGCTGGATCCTTCGAATTTTTTCCCCCTCCGCAATGTCTTCATCTAGCCATCGCATCAACTCCCGCTTCAGACGCTCCATGGAGTGAATGTGCCAGAATTTCATTTTCATCGCAGGTCAAAACAGAAATGGCACAATGACCAAATGCGAAGGAACAAGAAGGATCGTCCCAAAAGTAAGCGCATCACAACAGAAATGGACGATCTTGACAAGTTGGAAAGAAAGTGTGGTTTATGCCGTCAGGTCGGACACAATCGCAAAAATTGTCCGAATCGGGCGTCTGCCTCAACCACATAAAAATTGTAATACATAAAATCTTTCCTTAATTGTGTTGTAAACATTAGGGTTTTCCGTTAACAGATTTTGCTACAATTAATAAAACGCGTACAAGAAAAATTAACGATATTCCATCTACGAAATTACAGCTGTTAACACAATTTCATCTGACCCATGCATCATCAACATTACATCGCTGTCTGTTTTGACTTCCTCCAACCATACATTAGGTCTTACTGTCGCATGTGAGGTTGTTGTTCGTTTTCGCTGGATCCTTCGAATTTTTTCCCCCTCCGCAATGTCTTCATCTAGCCATCGCATCAACTCCCGCTTCAGACGCTCCATGGAGTGAATGTGCCAGAATTTCATTTTCATCGCAAGTTTCGTGACGGAGAAGATAACGTAATCATCTCTGCTAAAAATCATAGACGACGTCATGACAGAGTAAAAAATAAAAATACAGTGCGAGAAAGTGTGCAAAATTTCGGAGAAACGGACGAATTATTTATAAAACAGCATTTTGCCCTATGAGCCAAGTGAGATGGCGCCTCCTCTCACTTTTAAGGAGCATGCGCCATCTCACTTGGCTAAAAGTGAAAGGAGGCGCCAAGTGAGATGGCGCCTAGGGCAAAAGTAGGGGTGGAGGCGCCAATTCAGATGGCTCCTCCTTTGTGGAGTCATCTGAAACATGGTTATTTGCGTAATTTTTTCCGAAACGCAGTTATTTGCGGATTTTTTTTTAATACATGGTTATTGTTAAAAAAAATTCTTATTTTGTACCTATTATTTGGTATCAAATATACCAATTAAAGAGGCTATGGATGGACACTACGCGAGCTGCAATGTTAGCACGAGTGAATAGTTTAGAGTAGAATTTGATCGATGCAGAAACAAAGTTCAAATGCAGCTGAATGAGATTAGAAACCTCTGTAGAGACAGACAAGTATTGTGAGAATAGGAGACAGAGAGGGCCAAGGGAGCTAACTAGTTTTAAGTCGAGCTAACTCACATTCCATAACATGTGTGTCACCAACAAGACATGGAAGGGGGTTCCTTCTCGAATTGAAGTCACCCTCCAATATGTGACACTGGAGAAGGTAGTTGGGGGTCTCTATTTTCTTTAGAGCAGATGCTTGTTGGTGGACTAAATAGTTGAGCAATAACTCAAAAAATGTATTGCAAAACTTTGAAAGGTTTGGTGTTGTATTGGGGGTTTTTAGAGTATAATGGGCTAAGTTAGTAGCCTCCAGTTACAATCTTTTGATCCCCTCCCGATCTTAAGTAGACTTAGACTCTTGATTTTCACAGTATTGGGTGTATTTGCATGTATTGACATGATACGTGCCATTACAGTAATATGAGGACAGAGATTATAACGAGATTCTAAAAGTAAACGAAGAGAAAAAGTGGGAGTGAAAAGAAATGGTCGGAATTTTTGTACAATTAAAAAGAATTGAGTTCCAACTCTCATAGGTTCAAATTTTGGCGAACTCAACAGATAAACATGGACTGGTCAGATCATGGAGAATGGTAACGATCCAATCCAATGGAAATATGCAGTTGATCATGGTGATGGTCAAACTGAGGTATTTTCCTAAAATGTTGAATCAGAAGTTCAGTTCTAGCTGAATCCCGTTTTAAATGTGTCTTTGTTGAAGAAATCTCTAACTATCAAGGTTACCAGTCAACCCTTTCTTCGATACTTGGTAGACGATTGGCACTAAAGGTGCAACTAGCTGCAACACTTGCAATCTGAACTAAAGTTCTTATCAGGTGGAAAATAATGCTCAACATTGAAAAATCTAGGGGAACTTGCTTAATTACACGATCAGATTCCTATTTCCATATTGAGGACAAGGACTGTGTCTTTAGGGGCATTGGGGGTAGTGGTGGAGTAGATGTGTTGAGATTTGTCTAGAACCATTGGGAGAGATTAGGCGGTCACTTTCTAATTGCTTCGGCTATTTTCTTTCTCTACATTGTATTCATTTTATTTCCATTTTCCAGATTCACTCTCATCAGTTTCATACATGTCTAAGACCTGCATAGTGAATTTTCACTTTTAGTATTACTATTTATCTGGTTTCTATTATATAGCCTCTTATTTGTAAGCACTATTTAGAGTGAATGTCTGAACCAATTAGGCAGTTATTATTATGTACCCCCTTTGTCAATTATGTATTAGGAAGCAGTTATGTTACTAAACAGTAATGACATGATAAATAGGGAAACTGAAGGAAAAGTCTGTAGGTAATTAATTGGGACTAGATATTTGTTGGGAGAGATTCTCAAATTTTTTGAGATGAGAGAAGAAGACTCTTGAATTTCTCGGATAAGAATTGCCTTGGAACCATATACTTTCCCTTTCCTTAATTTATCTGTTATTTTCTAGTTGCTCTATTGTAAAATAACTCATCTTTCATTTCTGAGAAGGCAGTGCAGAGATACTTGCAATTAAAATTGTTGTTTTCGTTTAAATTTATCAGCATAGATACCAGATACCAGTTTCTATCAGTACACCAAGTGTATAAAAAAGTTACTATTTCAGAGAAATATATACCATAGAATGCTCGTGAGGATTCGCAGAAGTAGCAGTAGAGAATACAAAAGAAGGAACAGCTCCATATACTGCAATTGGAATGGAGACAAAGTGCATTCACATTTCAATATAAAATTTAAATAGAAGTATAGAACAATAAATATGAAGACATTTCCTGAAGCTCAACAAACCATGTGAGCAGAGTCGCTTAAGCCTCCTTAATATAAGAGCAGTATGACATCCAAATGCTCCCTTGTAGGTATGAGTTTCATCAATTACCAGAAACCTAATAGGTTAGAGTGAGTATACTTCTTCGCAATAACAATCCATTAAGAAACATTCCATATAAAAACAAACTAATTTAGTTTAGATAATCTGATTGAATATACCATAAAGATTACCTTAGATTTGATAAAATCCGGTCAAATAGCCGATGGTGGGGCAAGATTGATATGTGTAGCATATCTGGATTTGTGATTAACTGCAGTATATATAATATAAAATGAAGAATTTTTCACCATAATTTGTCCAGTCTACAGAAGAAAATAAGCTGTTACTTATTAGATTACCAGTCTAGAATTATCACGTAGCCATGTCCTTTCGCTATGAGAAGTGTCACCATCATATATACCAATATTTAAGTCGACGTCAAATTCTTTTGTCATGTGTAACAAAGACCTTAGTTGATCTTGAGCTAACGCCTACCAGCATGGAATAACTTGGTTATAATTACAACAACCTCTGGCCAAAAAATAGTGAGGTTGGGAGAAGGAGACAGGGTCAGTGTACTATCTCCAATTCAGAATGGGAAATTAAATAGCAGACTGAAAACAAACCTTTGTTGGAAATATGTACAACGCACATAAAGATGAATTCTTAAGCAACTCTTCTAGAACAGGCAGGTTGTAGCAAACAGATTTGCCACTAGATGTCATTGTAGCGACAACAACATTCTTCCCGACAAGGGAGGCTTGAATTGACTCTGCCTATGTAAACCATGAAGCAAAAAATACTTTAGAAACTATAATCTACTACAAAGGCACATTTTTACATATTCCACTCATACCTGATGACTATACAATTTGGAAACTCCAATGTAATTTAGTGCAGATCTCATTTTTTCTGATAATTCAACGGAGATCTCACTGTAAATGGCTTTTCTGGCACATATATCTTCAATATGCACAATCTACATTAACCACACATTCATAATTTAGTGCTAACCAAGTCATGTTTTGATACATTTTCTTGTGATATAAAGAACATCAAGTTGGATGGATTATAAATTGTTAGAATTGTGTACTTCAAAAAATTAGAGAAATTATAGTGATTGTAATCAAGACTCAATATCTATTTTATTATTATTCTCTGGTGTCTAATTGAAACAAACAGATTCACTCAAATATTTTGTAGTTTTTACTTTCTCAATATGTATTGTGTGTGTGTGTCTTTATATATATTAAATGTGTGTGTATTATCCAGTGTGTAATTGAGACACGCAGATTAATTCAAATGTGTGTGTATTATCCATTGTTTGTTATGTATTTTTCAGTAAATTATTGGCACCATATCCAGCAAATCACGGGAAATTAAGGATTTCATGTGTTATACTTCCAAAAGCACAAAACCCTGATCACAGTGAAAAAGAGAATACCTGTCCTTCAGATCCAATTCCTTTCTTAAGATGTTCAACCATGTCCACAGCCATTAATGACCTTGAGTCCTGCCAAGCCAAAAATTAAGTGATATGAGCTAGCACTGTACATTCTATCCTAAAAGCATAATTTAAACATATGGATTGCAGCAGAAAAGTGTGTACATCTCGAGCAACACAGAGAAAAGAAGCTAAAAATTATGGTTGAATAATTTTTCTCATAATTCATATAGTAGTTTCCCAACAATGTAACTGACATGCAAAAAATGCTCACACCAATATCTTTAAATATCGATCAAAAATATATCAGAGATATCACACTAGTCTATAAAACACATGTTTGAACTCGAGAGGCTTGAATTTTTAATACTAACCCCAGCCATGTCATTTTGGCTTGAATAGGGTAATGATTACAAAACCAGTTGACCAATAAAGAAAAAGGGAAAAGATGCACTATCATGGTATTGAATGCAAATCGACAAAAATAATTGCAGCCAAACCTTTGAATTAGTAAAAATAGCTTTAGATTTAAAATATAAAAACCAACATTTTATTTTCCTCTAATGCTCTTTATCTTTATGTTCTATGATAAGCTTTCATTATTTGATTATATACATAGAACAAAAAAATTAAAATGAATAGTATGCCATAAGATGAATACACACATGACACCCAATGCGGTCCATGTCAGGTCTTGAGGAAGTTGAGCTTCTCTTTACACGTTTTGATTTGTTTTCTTTCCTGGTAAAATCACGGTCCTTGACTGCTGCAAGCAGTTCTTCAAAGGAAATTCTCACGTTCATCTCATCTCCAATTTCAAACTGCAAATAAGATTGATGGCAATGCACATTATTCAACATCGTAAAGATTACTGACATGAGCAGTTTATTTGATCTTATGTTTTTATGTTTTATTTTAGTCAATTATATTTGATTTAACACATTGTTCTTCAAATAAAGTAGTCACTCAGACATAACTAGCATGTTACTTTATAATGAGCTTTGCACAAAAGTTTATTTGAGCCTTCAAAATCTTGGCTAAGTTTAGTAAATGCTTATAAGCCTAATATAAATAGTCCTAGTCCTTTGAACATGTACTTAGAATCTTTAAGTTCTCATATCTTATCACAATTTCAAATCCAAGTTGTTTTAAACCCAAGAACCCCTCTCTTTTTATCTATCCACTTCAATTTATCAAGTTCGGTTCTTCCCAGATTTCATGGTTTAGGGAAAAAATTTGTATGTCACCCAAAAACTTATAGAAATCAACTACCATACTGATGATATCCTAATGCCAAATTATACAAAGCCTTTTCTTTGCTAGTGAAAGTTGGTTATTATAATAAGTTTCTACAATAAGACCCTGGTATGAATGAGTCTATAATGGACCATTCATACTGGTTGATCTAAAAAGAAAAGTACCTGAAGCTGTTCAAAACCCCACCCCAGACATTCTCGGAAAGAACAGTCCCTTCTCTTTAATGTACTGACAATCTTTGAAACATTGAGCGACTTGCGAGCTATTAAACAGAACATGTCAAGCAAAATAGAAAGAGAAAAAAAAGCATCCTTATGAAAAAGGATATCACTGAATTTTGCAAAACAAACAATACACGTCTTAGATATACCTCTTTTAAAATTATCTTCAATTTGATCTTCATTGTTACTTGAATGATTTACTACAACAATGACATCGCCAAAACTTGCCTTCTCTATGTCAAAACAAACTAGCTGCAAAGGATTCAATCCATAATTTAGAGCACATAATGAAAGCCTACAAAAATGTTATTTCACAGAAAAGTGTTATTACTTATTACTCCTAACTTATGAAGCACGGGCTCCAACACGGACACTGGGACATGAGTTATATAATTAATAGTATTTGACCTTCATTTATTCACGTATCATTAAAAGAATTAAAAATATTCTAATAAAACTTAATGTCTTTAATTTTGCATTGATAACAGTAGAAAAGAATGAGAGGAGAATAATTCTTTGATGTATTAAAAATGTACAGGGGATTTCTCTCTTAAATAGAGAAGAATTAGAATCCTAAATTAATTGCAGAGATCCTAACTTAATTACAGGTTATTGACAATAATTGATTACCTAATAATATAATAACTGAAAAGAAACAATATACTAAATGCTATAATATTCTAATAAATATTTTGATTTTGCAACACTCCCCCTCAAATTGGCTTGAAAATGTCTTCCATGGACAGCTTGCGAGTTATGTAGTCAAAAGGTTTCTTGGGTAGTCCTTTGGTCAAGATATCTGCCAATTGTTCTGCAGTAGGAATATAGGTCATATGTATTTGCCCATTTTCAATTTTTTTCTTGATGAAATGTTTGTCAACTTCAACATGTTTGGTTCTATCGCGTAGAACTGGGTTGTGTGCAATAGATATTGCAGACTTGTTGTCACAAAAAAGTTTTATAGGTGGAGAATTATAAAAATTCAATTCTTGCAGTAGTTTTTCCACCCACAACCCCTCACAAATTCCATGAGCCACTGCTCTAAATTCAGCTTCAACACTACTTCCTGCTACAACGCTTTGTTTCTTGCTCCTCCAACTAACCAAATTTCCCCCAACAAAGATACAATAGCCAGATGTTGATCTTCGATCAGTTATACTTCCAGCCCAATCTGCATCGGTGTAGGCTTCTATTTGGAGATGTCCACAGTTTTTATAAAGAAGTCCCTTCCCGGGTGATCCCTTCAAGTATCTTATGATCTTGAAAACAGCCTCTTGATGTTCAGGTCCTGGTGCATGCATGAACTGGCTCACCAAACTTACAGCAAAGGCTATGTCTGGACGCATACAAGTTAAGTATATTAGTCTTTCTAGCAATCTTTGATACCTTCCTTTATCTACCATATTTCCAGCTTCAGCAGGCTGCAATTCTATGTTGGGTTCCATGGGCGTATCAACAGACTTACATCCAAGTAATCCAGTTTCTTTTAAAAGATCCAGAACATACTTCTGCTAATTCATAAAAATACCTTCCTTTGATCTTGCAAATTCAATTCCAAGGAAGTATTTTAGAGGGCCAAGTTCTTTGATTTCAAAGATCTTAGCAAGTTTCTCCCTTAAGCTTTTGAGCTCCAAGCTATCATCACCTGTTAATATGATGTCATCCACATATACAATCAAAATAGCAATTTTATTAGTGGCTGAATGTTTATAAAAAAGTGTATGATCAGCTTGATGTTGGATGTAACCAAGTCCCTTTACCACGGTTTCAAACCTCTCAAACCAAGCTCTTGGGAATTGTTTCAAACCATACAAAGACTTCTTTAATCTACACGTTTTATTTCTTCCTAGTTTTTCCTCAAATCCAGGGGGAAGACTCATGAATACTTCTTCCTCTAGTTCTCCATTTAGAAAAGCATTCTTTACATCCAGTTGGTGTAAAGGCCAATTGAAGTTGGCAGCAAGGGATAAAAGGCCCGTATGGAGTTAAGTTTTGCAACTGGAGCAAAGGTCTCCTGATAATCTATGCCATAAGTTAGGGTAAATCCCTTAGCTACTAACCTAGCCTTGTACTTCTCCACACTTCCATCTGCTTTGCACTTGATGGTAAAAACCCACTTACAACTCACCTTCTCTTTGTCATGTGGTAGGCTCACAACTTCCTATATTTCATTTTTCTTGAGTGCGTTAAGCTCATCTAGAACTGCTAATTTCCAGTTGGGATCATCTAGTGCTTCCTCAATGTTTCTAGGCACAAACAAATTAGTAATTTGAGGGAGAGGTTTTGGTAGGAGACATAATTGGAAATGGGATGGTTAGTACTGGTTTTAAGTGATTTCTTGGTGCATGTTCTGGTGCTTTTCTTAATGGCTATGGGTAGATCAATATTAGAAGTGGAAATCTCAGAATTACCTGTTTGTTCTTGAGGCAACTTTGTTGAACCATCTTCCGGGGATTTTGGTTGATTTGATGCTGAAATGATGGATTGACTTCTGACCTTTTTAGGATATTTCCGAGCATAAACACGAAGCTCTTGTTTTGAGTTTGGTATTTCTTTCCCTATTTGGGCACCACCTAAGCCAGGGACAAGGTTTCCCTTATCAATTTCAGGATTTGTTTCCACATGTTCTACTTCTTTATGTGCTATTGTGTGATCAATTAACTCTATTTCTCAGTGTTAAAAACCGGATTTGGCAAAGATTCATTTAAATTGTTCACTTAAAAAATTGTCTTCATTGACATTCTCCCCCTAAAGGGAATTTTTGTGATAGAAAGGCTGTAGTTCTAAGAAAGTGACATTTATACTAACATAAAGTTTCTTTGTGTTAGGATTATAACACTTTTACCCTTTTTGGTTGGGAGAATAACCAACAAAAATACATTTTTCAGCTCTTGGATCTAGTTTAGACCGAGAGTTAGAGGTGTACATAAAAACAGTACAACCAAACACTTTTAAAGGTAAATCAATATGCAATCGACATGCCGGAAAAAAAATTTTGAAAAAATGGTGTGTGATAACTTAACACACAATTGGGCATCCTATTTATGAGATACGATGCTGTTAGAACCGCATCCCCCCATAAAAATTTAGGAACATTGCTCTCAAACATAATGGCACGAGCTACCTCAACAAGATGTCTATTCTTTCTTTCAGCTATGCCATTTTGTTGAGGCGTATTTGGGCATGTTGATTGATGTTGAATACCTTTATGTTGAAAAAACTCTGAGGTTTTTATTAAAATATTCAGTATCATTGTCACTTCTCAAAATGGAGATTTTTGCATCAAATTGAATTTCTATCATTTTCGAAAAACATTTAAATATCTCTGGTACTTCAGATTTATCTTTCATAAGATAGACCCAACATAGTTGTGTATGATCGTCAATAAAGGTCACAAACCACCTTTTTTCCAAATTGAGTTGTAATTTTAGAGGGACCTCATACATCACTATGGATTAAATAAAAAAGTTTGGATGCATGATAAGGTCGAGAGGAATAAGGAGTTTTGTGACTTTTAGAAAGAACACAACTTTCACATTCAAAAGAAGAACAATTAACATTTTTTAATAAATCTGGAAACAAATGCCTAAGATATTGAAAATTAGGGTGCCCTAGTCTATTATGCCAGAGCATTATTTGATCCCTCAGAGGTAGAACTGATACCACTAAGGCCACGAGCCACTTTATTCTCAAAACCATCCTCAAAGTAATAGAGTTCATCCATCATTTTAGCACTGCCAATCATCTTTCCCGAATTCCAGTCCTGAAAAATACAATAAGTGTTAAAAAATTTCACATTGCAATTTGAGTCTTTGCCGATTTTACTAACAGAGAGAAGGTTACATGAAAGTTTTGGAACGTGTAGCACATTTTTCTTCTTCAATTGATGAAAAACTTCCATCTGCAATTCTAACTTTTTTATTTCCAGAACAAGGTGAATATGTTTGAAATGGAGAAGAAAGGCTGGTCATATGGTCAGAAGCACTTGAATCTATGATCCATGGTGCATACGTATTTGAGGTGCAACTGAGAGAAGTATGGATACTAAAATTACCTGTGTGTGCCAAAGAAGCATTAGGAATATCAGACAAAGAACTAGATTTTAGCAACCTTATGAGCTCCTCAACTTGATCCTGGTTGGGCAAGGATCTTTTTTCCTCATGTGCTGTAAGGACGGATCTGGGACCCGGTTTGCCATTTTTCAAATGTGTTGGTTTCCCATGGAGTTTCCAGCAGGTCTCTCGAGTGTGATGTGATCTGTTGCAGTGGTCACACCAGAGGTTAGATGTGTTCCTCTGATTTGATGAACTTTTAAAGGCAGCAGTATCCGCAATCAGCGCATTGGTCTCAGGAGGATTTGGATCAGCTTTTGCCTTTCCCATCATCACACTCCTGCGAGTTTCCTCCCTTCTAACTTCAGAAAACATTTCTCCTAGTGAAGGTAAGGTTAATCTTCCAATGATTCTTCCACGAACTTCATCTAACTCCTCATTGAGGCCAGCAAGGAACTGGAAAATTCTTCCTTCTTCCACTGTTTGTTGATGGTGTTTGACATCCTCAGTTGACTTCCACTTATAGGTGTTGAAGAGATCAAGGTCTTACCACACCCGTTTTAAGGAATGGAAGTATTTTGTGACATTATCACTTCCTTGCCGAATTTCTCTAGCCTTCAACATAAGTTCATAGATTTGAGACTTATTTTCCAGATCAGAGTACATCTCTTTCACACTTTCCCACAATTCTTTCGTTGTGGAATAACACAGATAGTTGCTGCTGATTTCCTCTTCCATGGAGTTTACCAACCATGTCATTACCATGGAATTTTCAGCATCTCATACATCATGTTGTGGGTCACCAACATTTGGTTTTGTGCGATCACCATTAAGATATCCCATTTTTCCTCTGCCACGGATATACATCTAGACAGATTGAGACCACCTCAAATAGTTCGACCCATTGAGTCGAAAAGAGGTAATTTGGATAGAATGAGAATCGCTGCCATAAGCAACTTTTTGCTCTTTTTGAGACGTGTTTTTAGGAGTTTTATTCTCCTCTTCACTATTGAGTGAGGAACTGTCAGCCATGGAAGTACAGAGGCGCAGGCTGCAGAGAACTTGCTCTGATACCAAGTAGAAAAGAATGAGAGGAGAATAATTCCTTGATGTATTAAAAAAGTACAGGGGATTTCTCTCTTAAATAGAGAAGAATTAAAATCCTAAATTAATTGCTGAGATCCTAACTTAATTACAGGTTATTGACAATAATTGACTACCTAATAATATAATAATTAAAAAAGAAACAATATAAATGCTATAATATTCTAATAAATATTTTGATTTTGCAAAAATAACGTTGTTTCAATACATGTTTAACCCTTTTAGATATCTGTGAGATTTGTTCAAAAAATGTATAAGGTGTGTTGAAGCAAATAAAAGAACAATTTTTTTAAACACTCGTCTGAATTGTCTGACACATGTTGTATGAGTGTTGTCATACAGGTGTTGGACATCGATTCAAAAAGTGTCGAAGCAAAGAAAAAAACTATTTTTTAGAACACTTGTTAGACTTTTTAGACACTTGTCTGATTTTTCCAACACGTGTCGTACGGATGTCATGCGCGTGTCGGACACCACGACCCAACTACTCCTAGAAGCATTCAGGCTTCATAGCTCCTAAGGCCTTATAGTTTATACTATATTAGGCATACCACACATCTCAACATGAATCATAAGTTGACTATAAGCAAAATATATAAAAACATTAAGATAAATCAACCAATTTACATGAGGACAAAGAAGGGAGAGATGCTTCATGTCATGGAGGCCAAGTTTGACTCCAAACTTAGCAAGCTGATCAAGTGCTTCTTCCAGTAGACCCGTGGTTACCTTCCTACCCTGCAAATGAAGAAAGGCAGAAAAGATATTGATGAAAGCAAACGACTTCACAACTATCTTCAACCACTGTGGACACAAGCAAGTGACCCCACCACCCTCCTTGCCACAAGATCCCTTCAAACATGCCCTCTTGAACAACTTGCAATGTCCAAGAGACAAATCAGATAAACAATTCACCGACTCCAAAACCTTCGAAAAAACCTCACAACTACGCTCTCCAAGAGCACTCTTATTAGTACAATCCAATGTATTCAATATGAGATGATAAGGAAGTTCTATCCCCTTTTCAGCCTCCACAGTTTTCTCTTTATTCCTTTCAAAATTAGACACATTATTATGGTCAATTTCTGACAAATCTTCCATTATATTGGACCATGTCGTATCCGCAAGATTCGAAGTTGAAGCGTTGCAAACAACATTAGGAGAAGAGAAACCTGAATTTGGTTTCTCGGTTGAAGTCGGTTCCTTCTTCGCAAATGGAATCAAAACGAGAAACTCACCGCGTTGGATGAGATAAGAACCAACTTCATCATGTAATTGCAATTTATTACCCTGAAACCAAAAATGAGTGATGCTCTAGCATTATTATCCGTGAAGTACGGATAACTCATAACACTACACTGATACAGCAACACCGATAATAATTTGAAAAATGCAAAGTTAAACTAAAATGATAATGTTTCTACAATTCTTTATGAATTACAAACATTTGAATTTCATAAAGAATGATGAAAAAGAGTAAAGTGAGAAAGAGTGTACCTTGAAAAAGAGATGGAAATTGGGGGAATTGGTGGCGGGAGAGAAAGAGTGGTTAAGTAGAAGCTTGAGGTGTTGGACGGTGGCAGTGGGATTGATGTGAAGAGTGATGGAGTCGCCGGTTAGGGTTCGGATTTGGATTTCCTTCTTGTTGCTGTCTGCCATTGCTGTCCTCACAACTGCGTGGGAAATGTTTTCGGCGCTTGTTCAAACAAAAACTTCCATGGTACTCACTCCCCTCTTTCTTTAATTATAAACACTTAAAAAGAAAAAATCTTATATAAGCTATTTTTTAAATTATTAAAAGAAATTAATGGTGACTTTAATAATTATAAATTATCCATATTAAAATATGAAAAAATAATTACTTCTTTTCACGAATGTTAAAAACCGAAACATTCCAATAGAAAACTGCAAGTTGAACGGAATTAAACTAAAAACCATAAAAAACCACATTTGATTCAAATGTTTTTGAATCATTTTTTAATAAAAGTGCACGTTTTGGTTCAATTTACGATTTGTATTTTGCAAACCGAATCAAACTGTATTATGTGATAACCAAAACTTTATTTAATCCACATTCAATCAGTACCAAACCTATTATGCTTTAGTCTTACAATTGTGAATGATTTTCTCTTTTTCACACTTATTATTTCAATTTCAACATTCTCAAATCTCTCAGTAATATTGTGTCTTCTTTTCTAGGTACATCTCGCATTTTCTTCTCTAATCTCTATTATATTATATATTATTTCTTTTTTATCTTCTCATTTTTATGTTACTATTCTCTCTTTCAATTTTGTTTTTATCTCACGTCTTCTTCTCTAATCTCTCGTCTCTTTTGTTTTTGCTTTTTCATCTTCACTAATCTTTTACCTCCTCTATTTTTTTATTATAATGTTTTGGTATTGTATTTGATATTGTTATGCTATTGTTTTATATTTATTATTCTACTTTTGTCTAATCTAAGTTTTATATATTAAATGAGATAATTGAATTTTTGTAAATAACACATCTCGTGTAATTTATAACTTGTCAATTTAATATAGTGTGTGACTTTTTGTGAATTGTCTTTGAACAATCTTTGATATTTGTGAATTGTGTAAATTGTATATGTGGTTGATTTCTTATATAAGCATATAATCTCTATTTTCGTTTTAAGACTTTTGCGCGTTTGAAAAACTTTGATATCTCACTTTGGAGTATCAATCAAATTTTTTTAAAAGGTTTTACTCACCATATCTAGATCGTTTCTTTACTCTGTATTCTTACCCAACAATTGACCTCAGTGCTGGTCTTTTGATCAGGTCTAAGCGACTCAAAATTTTGGGAATATAGTTGACGATGAGGATCCAATGGAGTGTATAATAAAGCATCAATTTTTAAATGCAAGAATTATGCTTAATGGAAAGAGAATATGTATGTACATTTACTATCAGCAGACAAAAATCTATGGATAGAGGTAACCCATGGGCCTTTTATCCCAAAAGGTGACAGTGACGTTGTTACACATCCAAAGGATTTGACAAATGATGAAATCAAAAAGGCTTCATATGATTTGAAGGCGGGGAACATACTTATCCCCGCTTTAAGTGAAAGTATTCTACTCAATTTCACACCATAAGAGCGCACAAACTATGTGGAATGCTCTTTATGAGGAAACTGAAGACGTTAAGGATTTTAAGATCAACATGTTAACGAAGGAGTTTAAGCTTTTCTGTATAGAACCCAGAGAATTTGTGGATTCTAGCATACTAGGTTCTTCCACTTAATCAACAAACTAAACAACTTAGGAAAGTCCTTTTCTAACAAATATTGTGCTAATAAAATATTAAGGTTTATGTGCAGAGAATGACAACCAAAGGTTACCGCCATAAAAGAATATAACAATCTTAGTACTTTGAATATCACAAAGTTGTTTGGGAAAGTTGTCGAACATGAAAATGAGCTAAAATGACTCGCGGATAGCGAAGTAAAGTAGAAAAATAAAGAGAAAGAAAAGGAAGAGAAAATGGATCTTTCTTTGAAAGCTTCGTCATATAAAGTGAATAAATCAAAGGAAGTTAGTGATAATTCTGACTAAGAAGCTCCTAAAGAATAGGAGATAGATTTATTCGTTAGACGCTACAATCGATACTTGAAAAGAAATAATGTCAAGCATTCCGATAAAGGTTTGGTTAATTTCAAAAGTATTCATCCGCCTAAAAGAGAACACAAGAAAAATGATGATGATATCACATGTTATGAGTGCAAAAAATTGGGACATTTTAGAACTACTTGTCCAAGTCTCACTAAGCATCATAAAAAGAAGGATAAAGAATCCTACAAGACGAAAGGCAAAGGCGCCAAAGATCGTAGAGCCTATATTGTGTGGGAAGAAGAGGATGATAGATCCTCCTAATTTTCTTGCTCAAGCTCAGAAGATGAATGTGCTAGTCTATGTCTATAGGCACGAAAGAAAAGTGAAGACTCACAAGTATACAATTTTGATCCTGAAAATGAACTTTCATATAGAGAATTGTCGAAAGCTTTAAATGGTATTTATGCAGATTCGATAAACGCTTTTAAAAAAATTTCCCTACAAAAAGAAATGATTTTAAAACTTGAAAGGTGATTAATGATCTTAATATCGCTTTAGATTTCTTAAGAAACACATACATCTCTAGTCGATGAGCGTTACAATGTTTTTGATACTTTATTTGAAAAGGTAGAAAAAGCAGAGTGTGTTACTTGTCCAACTCTAAAACTTGAAATTTAAAATCTTAAAGGACAACTAACACATGTTATTTCACTATCTTCGGTGCTGCAAAGATTATTATAGCACGAAAAGTTAAACTAAAATGATAATGTTTCTACAATACTTGATGAACTACAAACATTTTGAGGTTCATGAAGAATTATGAAAAATAGTAAAGTGATGGAATAAATTTGAAGAAAGAAGCAGAGAGTACCTTCAAAAAGAGATGAAAATTGGGGGAATTGGTGGAGGGAGAGAAAATGGTTGCATAAAAGCTTGAGGTGTTAAACTGTGGCAGTGGGAGGGATGTGAATAGTGATAAAGTCGTTGGTTAGGGTTCGGATTTGGATTTCTTTCTCGTTGTTATCTTCCATTTACATCTTTGCAACTGCATAGGAAATGTTTTTGGCGCTTGTTCGTTTTCTTTTCTATGCCGCTTTCTTTACAGTTTAAACTAAAACTTCCATATTAGGGGTGGACAATCGGTCGGTTTGAATCGAAATCAGGCCAAAAACTTAAATCTGACACAAACCGCAGTTTCTTTATTAAGGCTCAATTTCGACCGATAAAATTTTGGTATATGGAGGATTAGGTTTAGTAGGTTTGGCTGATAAATCGGGTGGATTTTAGTCGGTTTAATATTTATTGTGATAAATCTATAAAAATGACTCATCTTTTATAAAATTCACAAATATTCATCTTATAATTCTTTTTATAAAAAAAATCTACCAAAATTTTAGAATAACTCACAGAAGAATTTTTTTATTATTATTGAAAAAACTTTATTATCACATTATAACATTTCAAATATCATTTGATATTAATTTTCTCATTATCATACTTTAAACAACAAATTAAATAACACTCAAAATTTTATATTGTATATCTTGTATTTTTATGAGTATACAATGCCGCCATTAAATTATAAAAAAGGATAATAAATTGATAATATTATAAAATCCATTTTTATAATAGTTTGACTCTATAGTAATAAAAAATACATAAAACAAATACTAGTTAAGTTCGGTCGGGTTTGATTTCCGACAGATTAAAATAATGATTTGAGTCCAATCGAATCAACCCTATACTATCCAAATTAAGTAACGGGTCAACCCAACACCCGATCCGATCCGATCTATTTGCATAAAAATGACAATGGATCAGTCAGTTTCGATCGGACGGTTCAAATTTGTCCACCCATATTCCATAGTACTCACTCCCTCTTTCTTTAATTATAAAGACTTCAAAAATAAAAAATCTTATAAGCTATTTTTTAAATTATTAAAAGAAATTAATGATGACTTTAATAATTATAAATTATACATATTGAAGTATGAAAAATAAGTAATCCTTATTATAAGAAAAAAATAAATTTTGTTAATGATGAAGAAGATTTGAAAGCTAGAAACACGAAAACTAAAAGTGTGTTTAGATGAAGCATTTTAACGAGAGAAATTAATTTTTGAGGGAATTTGAAATGACTCGACTAAAATCTATTGTGCCTCGCCCTTAAGTATTCCTCACCCAGGGAATGAAACAAATGTGGGCTAATACTTGTCTTAGATAAAGAGAAAGTCAGAGTCATTACTGACTCATATCTCCCTTTAAAATATGGATTCAACTGTCCACTATTTGACTAGGTGGGCAGTATTCTTTCCCAAGATAACCCTAGGTTTTAAAATATCCTATTAATACTTCATCCCTCAGAGGGATAGAGGAAAGACTTTAAGTCATACACACTCTTCAATACTGAAAGAGCATTATGCTTGTAACCATCACCACATACTCAACCAAAGTAACCGTCTGCCAACACTTTCAATTATAATACTTGGTTTTGCTTAAAAGCTTTTAACTGAGAATAATAACTTGACACACAATTAACTTTTTTCTTAAAAGCTCATGAGTGGAGCAAGTAACAATGAAAAATCAGTTTATCTCAATGTATCAAAAGATACATAGGTGACACACAAAAATAAACAAAGCACCTAAAGTACTCTCAAAACCTTAAACCCTTATATTATGCACCCACGGTGTTTTGATGTGAATGCTTGTTTATTTTAGGTTTAACAAGTCCTTATATATAGACTCTTGCAGTGTGGGCTTGGACTCTTTAATCAAATCAAATCTTATAATTTTAAATCAGCTGCAAGATCTTCTACAAAAATAGAAACCAATCTTCAAAGTTTCCTAAAAAGTCTCAAACATTTTTTTTATGAAACCAAATTAAATTTGCACTATTCCTAATAAAATCTTCTTGGCCGACAAAAATAAGTGAGATATATCCAAGAGGATCTCACAAAATCAAATCAAATTTGTCAAGAAAAATAACAGCAACACATGTTATACAGTTGGCCAAGATGTCAAGACATATGGCTCAACTTCTGTCTGATATTCATGACGGTAAAACCTATCACGACTGTTGGTCAAG